TTTTATATATATATATATATATATATATATATATATATATATATATATATATATATATATATAAGCAGAAAAAAAGGGGGGTCTGAGAAGAGAAAAAAGAACGGAAGACTTGGAGGAGAACTCTGACTAACAAAGCCAGAAGTCTAGATTTTGGGTTACAAACCTTTGTAATCGCCATATTGTTGAATCAATAAAGCTAGATCTCATAGTTATCAATGAGATTCCTTCCTTATCTTCTTTGCTCTTACGAATACGGAATAATATATCAAAGATGTAAGCTTATCATTTACGTTTGATGTCTTTTAATCATTCTGAGAAGTGTTATATAAACTCGGCCTCATTTGATCCAATATGCTTAGATCTAAAGTTAATTATGTTTGGCTATGATTTACCCTCTATTTTATCATTAATTGGTTTAACTAAAAGGCTCAACACTTTTTGGTCAAACACTCCCTCCGCCCTGATACTTGTTGTCTAAGAATACTCATCTCTTGATAATGAGTAAGTTATTTTTTTTTAAACCACAGCATCCGAATCGAGGCATTCTATACCTTTAAGCAAAAACTCTAATAACTTGTTGCTTTCAGGGTGCAGGAGGTTATACAAAAAAAATTCTATTTGTCCATTTCGCATTAATATTAAATGTGTGACCACATATTTGGTGGCGATTAAAGAAGACAACCATGACAATTAGGTGATAATTCTTTGATTTATTGCCCTGTTAAGAGGCATATTTTCCAGCTGAATATTGTCAAGTTCCATAGATATCCATATTTTCTTACACTGTATAGGGCGACGTCACATATTTGATAGCTTTTAGATGTAGAACAAGTCAAAATAATTCATAGGAAGTACTGCTGTGTATTCTTCTCCTTCTCCCTTCCTAATCCTACAATAAATAGTGTGCTGACATCAAAATAGAGAATATTGAATGTTATCCCAATGTATATTATAATACGAGTAGAGTTATATTTGGAAGTACTATTGAATATTGCCACGACCTTTTGACAAGTAATGGACTGCTAGCAGGAGTAGAAAATGCTTACCTAGAGTCTTTCTTTCTTTCTCTTTTTTGTTTAGCTGAAAAGAAAAAGGGAAATATATCAGCAGTCAAATATACCCATGTTCTTAAGGGACCATTTGGATTTTTCCTCTTATTCAACACCAACCAATAGATTCGTTGTTATTCGGGCTGGTCTACTGGTTGTTAATTACCATCCCTAAAAGGTGTTGACTAACTGAATAGATACTCTATTTGGATTCGAGATTCTTGTGTCAGATATATATATTTTCAAAATGAAGTTGTTTGCGGTGACCAATCCAGAATTTTAATTCTATGGGTTCAAGATTCTGATTTCGACCACTAATCTATACCTTATTTGATTTATGGGTTAATAGCTCAAATTTTCTGCAATTTTAATAAATTTTATACTGAAAATATAGGTCTAGGATAAAAGTTATGGGTTCAATTGAACTCACAGCTGAATCTGCCCTGGTTGTTTGGTGTCACCTTCGCTATCTATCAATAGTTCAATATGTACAAATTATAAATGTAGTGAGACTGAAACAACAGCCGTATAAAAGCTGCTTTTTTTTCGTAACTAAGGTTTGGTCCGTCATCTGTATTCCTTTTTCAGGGAGTATATATTGTTATACGCCGTGCTTCTTTAAAGGAATCAAGCATTTTGAAAGTCGAGTACATGAAATAATGACACCTCTGCATTCCTTTCATTGGAAGAGGGAGAGGAAGAAGATAACAAAAGCACCGTGCACTTGTTTATCTTTCAAGTCCAGTTCATTCACATTCTTGTGGAGCACTATCAGACTCTATAGCCGGTTAGGCCAAGCTTCTTTTTGGCCAAAAAATTGAGGTGTTTGGCCAAGCTTTTGGAAGGAAAAGAAGTGCTTTTGAGGAGAAGCAGAAGCATTTTTGGAGAAGCAGAAAAAAGTAGCTTCTCTCCAAAAGCACTTTTTTGAGAAGCACTTTTGAGAAAAATACACTTAGAAGCAGTTTTTTAAAGCTTGGTCAAACACTAATTGTTGCTAAGAAGTGTTTTTCAAACTAATTAGCCAAACACAAACTGCTTCTCACCAAAAGTACTTTTGAGAAAAGCACTTCTCAAAATAAGCTGATTTTTGTAGCTTACGGGGTATTATAATTCATGCTAGTAGAGCCTAAATACTGACGCATTCGAGCTGTTAATTACGTGTTCAAAGATTTAACGATATACAATCAACCATTATACAACTGGAAAAGGGAGAGGAAAGGCAATATTACACACAATTCTCTCCTTTACATCCTAAGTACCATAATCCAAGGGTAGCCAGAATTCTCTGCAATCTCCTAGTTGAGATAATACGTGTATCCTATGGGTCGTATTCTCTCATTCATCGCTAACTGTAACCAGTGGCGGATCCACATTAACATTTGTGGGTGCTTAATCTTTGACCATTTACATAGGCAATTATAAAAATATGTACATAAATATTGAGTGAGCACCCACAATTAAACTCTTTTTTTCTCTTCTTTTGGAATTTTTATCGATCAGCATTGTAACCAACAGTTTTGATGTTTTAAGCTTTCCTACATAAACAAAACACAAATGCAGCACAAAACGATGACCATTCACAAGCATGACATCGGAAGAATGCGCTTGAACTTGCTTGAGTTGACTGTAAGTAGCAATAAAGTAACAATAATTCCCTCAAATTTTAATTCAAAACCAATCATAATGAACTAAAGCAATTAAGCACTTTGCTTATCATGAGAAACGCGGAAGTGATATTTGAATAGTACAGAGAGCTTTAAGGAATACTATCAAAGTTGAGATTAGGAACTTGTAAGCATCAAGCAAAGAGGAAAGAGAACCCTTTGCAACAATATACTACCTTTAACTTCAATTAGTTGCTTTATAACATAAAGCTGAAAGTAACACAGAAAAAGGACTTAAGAAATCAGCTAAAGAACACAACTGTTTGACCTTTTTATTGCAGAAGACATGAAACTGAAATCTAGTTAAAAAGACAAAGAAAGCCAAAAAAACTTCTTAACAGTATGTAACGAAACATTCCAAAAGGAAAAAGTCAATACTCCAAAGAAACACAAGTCATTTCCCACTTGCTGGAAGATTTTACAATGATGCAAATATCAACAAACATGACTACTAGCAATTAATCAACAAGAGTTTGTTACATTTGTGGTTGCAGCACAATTATATTAATGAAAATCATATCAACAGACAATTAGCTCTAAGATTGAACAAGTTGGTTCATCGCTGGGTTACTTTTTAAAATTAACTATTGACTTTTTAGCTTCTGTTCCTTCTTGCTTCAATGCCCCAAAACGTATTGCAGGTACAGTAATTACAATCATCATCTTCAACAGATATCTAGCATACAACATCCAGCATCCATTAATGTGAAGATTGACGCACTGCACAAGCGACCACTTGTGCCCACTGCCGCAACCTTGTCTTCATTGTCTGAGGATTATCTCCTACATTCATTTTTTCCAAATATTAGCAACCATACGTTAAACACTATTGTTCTTTTCATGAATCTTGTCAGGGTGTAGGCAAAACTAAATTGTGCATTGAACAGAAGATAAAACATAAGCATTCTTTTTTTTCTTTTTTCATCTATTCATCCGGTATTCCAAATTCATTGTCCAACTAATCTAGATTAGTCACCCGCAGAACCACTAAGAGGGAAGCATTCTCTATCAAGAGTTTCTTCTTTCGTAGGGCTTAAACTCAAGACCTTTTGTTAAGGGCGGAGAGTTCCCATAAGCCTAGGCATTCAAATGTTCTTTACATTAACAAACTTATAAGGTTTCTGTTATTGAAATTATCTGGTAATCCCATTTTTTTATGACATGCCAATAAGTTAAATATATTGAACTTAACTTATATAGGAGTAGTATTTACTGAATGTAAAAGACATTATAATTGAAAGCTAATTTCACATAGAGGACTTCATATCAGAATTTAAAATCAAATTTTCATTTTGATTAGATGAATGAATTTGGATTTTCTCAATGAAGGATAGTTCAAAAGAAATAGAATCTGTGTTAAGCATTTCAGAACATTTTAAAATAAAAGAGTACCAATGAAAATTGTAAAGGAGAGGCTTTTTATCGAATTACCTTGATCGACAATGGTGTGGGGAATACCGGGAGGAGCGGGTGACTCGCAATCGGAGACGACCGACGATAAAGAAGAAGTCTTCGAAAGGGTGTCGGCATATTGTTTATTAACAGCGTAAAAAAGGCCATAAGCCGGGAAAGTATCAGACAATCGTTGATCCATTTCAGGCGAGTCAAATCCAAACCCTAACTCAATACAAGCCTTGAGCTCATCGAGGTCTTCATCGGTAACGCTCTTGCTCCGCTGTTTTAAGCGGCTACCTTGGGTACCCTTCCGCCGCTGCCACGCCTCATCGCGAAACGTGTCCGGCGACCACGATTTCTGTTTGTACAATGAATTCACCGCCGCCGACGGTGGCTCTGATGGCGGAGCTGCGGTGAGGTGTGACATGGAGAAAGAAAGACCCAGCCAACCCAACCCCTATGAGAGGGTGGTGGGGGAGCTCCGACGGCTCGGGCGTGCAAGGTTATTGTGATTCCATTGGCCTGGAAAAACATGTTATTATTAGGGGAGAGAGAGGGGGAGGGAAATGGGCCCCACATGACGTGGCGGGGCTTTGTGGGCCTTACACGCTAGGTATTGGTTGGTCCGGCTCATGATGATCTGCCCTTTAAGTCCCTTTCTTTTGTCAAAGTTGCCCACTAATTTCTTGTAAACTTGGCAAGCCGAACAAAATTACGTAGAAAAATAATGTCAGAAAGTAACAATGATAAAAAAGAAACAAAAAAAGAACAATTGCACTATGTACTTGGGCTAAGATGGGTGGGTCAAGATGGGCTAAATAATGGATCATAGCCCAACCCGTTCAATTTGACCCATATTTTAGAACCATGCTCATCTTGCATAAAAAAAACATTTTTACCTTAAAATGTGTAAGTTGAAAAATATTTTTAGGTGGAGTTGGGGGAGGGGGGTTGGGGTTGGATGGGTGGTGCAGGAAAACGAAAAAACAGAAAATTGAAAATACAAAAAAAAAAAGTAAAATTGGAGCAACTAAGTAAATTTCTAGATAAGTTGGGTTGAAATCCCTTTGTGGGTGAGTTTCATGGGTTGTATTTGGGCTGCTTAATGGGTCAGAATGGGCTATAAAAATATAATGGGTTAACTTAGACTCAGCAAATAAATCCATGAACTAAAATATTTGTAGCCTAACTCATTAATCTCTGGGCATGTTGGGCGGGTGTGGGCTCAAATTGCCACCCCTACCCCTAAGGTTTAAGATTGCAACACAAACATCCTTTATAGTTTTTAGTATTACACAAACCTTCCTTCTTTAATACGTAATTTATTTTAAGAACTAGTATATTATATAACTTAAATATTGGAAAATTCCTCCCTTATATGTTAATTTATGTTTTCTTATATATATAAAATCATTGGATGCATGCATTAACTTAACCTCACTTATTCCAGCTTTAGGTAACATAGCTAATAATTAAATTTATAAATATATTTAATTTAGTATTCATTTATATAGAAAAATATACTTTCATACTTTTATCACATCAGGAATCAAACCTGTCATACTCATTCCATCTCTACAACTAATTGACACGTTATACACTAATAAATATTATAATTTATAAAAGGAAAGGCAAGCTTAAAGGGATTATATAATTATCTGTTTCATTTTTCTTAATCAGTTTTTATTTATGCATATATAAAATTTAAGAATTATTTTCGATAAGAAGATTCAATACATGCATCCAATAATAAAACTTTAGATTAAATAAGTTAGCTTTAATACTCAAGATATATGAAAATATAAAAGTAAACATATAAGGTGTAAAAATATTCATTTTTAGGTTGCAGAATGATTTTGTACACTAAATAAGAGAAAGGGAGATGTAATATCTAAAACTATACAGGAGACATATGTTATAAGCTAAAACCTTAGTGGAAGTTGTAGAAATTATTCAATATAAAAATAAGTTGCTAAGGTTGGTTGACATTGTGGAGTTTATGATGGTTCAGCGACTAACTTGTGAATAACAATTAAATAAGTCCAAGTTTCATAACATAACCAATTTACTATTGCTCCACGATAGCTTGTGCAAGATAGGTCCATGCTTCATAATCAATTTACTACTGTCCACGATGGCACGTTACACATTTTTATACACTTAGGGGCATTTGGTACGATGGATATATAGAAATAATTTTGAAATAAAAATTTAATATCATCTTATCTCTTGTTTGATTACTGAAGGAAAATATTTTATTATTAGTCTCTTCAAGCTCTCTACAATTCTCACTAATCTTCACACATAAAATAAGTTATCAATACCCCTATTTATAATAGTTTGAAACCTATTTCAACTAGAAACAGGAAAGTCTGTTCCTATATTTATTCTAACAGCTAATTGATAGCATCCTAGGAAGCTCAAATCTATTCAAGGACAAGGATGAAGCTTTGGAATCTCAAAGAGGGCCTTCAACAAGATCTCAAGCTAAAAAGTTGCAAAACAAGGTCATTGGACTTCAGGAACGATCAAAGAAGTTGTTAGCTAGGAGGAAAAGCTTAAGGATAAAGGATATGAGTTTTTTAGGTGTTATAATTATTTTATGGCCCAAAGTCATGTCTAATAAGAGGTGGATTAGATCCCAAGAAACATCCTCTGAAGAAGGTCCAAATCAGGCCACTATTGGACCAATTTAGCACCTAAAATGTGTCCAAACTTGCAGCCCATGAAGTCCTACATAAAGCCACGTTTTTATAGCATAAAAAAGGAGTTACTTGATGTCCAAGAAAGGTACAATAGTCGTGCTAGATATTGAGTGCAAGTTGGTGCCAAGTTGCTTGCAAATTTCCTTCAAGTTTCTATCCAAGATTGGTTTGAGACTTATTTTCACTATATTTATTGCTTTCCTAGTTAGTTAAGGTTATTTTTTCCTTTTCCTAAGATTGTTGGAATTACTTTCCAAGAATAGCTTGGTTTTTGTTTCATAGTATTTTTCTTTTCCTAAGGTAGTTGGACTTGTTGTCCAAAGTAGTTTAGGACTTTATTTCCTTATTTTTTTAACCTTAATTTCGTGACCCCTTCCTACCTATATAAGGGGTGTCTTCTTTGTTTTTAGACTTAGATTATTCAGATTATTATCAATAAAAATTGTGAGATATTTCTTGCACTCTTGTGTGTGGCTACTCTTGAATTTATTCTTCAACCTTCAAGATTCAACTTAAGGTGGTAAGATTAAACCATTTTTGAAATCTTAGATCACTTCTAGGTATTAAGAAAGGTGATATATTTAGGCTTATTGTTGTTCTTTTTATTCTAATGGGTCAAGTTTCACAATCTATATCTTGTTTTTAAGTCTCTGCCAAAGGTGATTAGTTCTTCGTTAGCTAATTGTTGTTGTTAGGATTCAACTTCAAGAATTGACTTCTTGAATTCAAGAAACTCTTTCTTGAATTCAATCTATCTTTAATTTCTGTTTTCATTTTTGTTTCTTTATTTTCTTCTAGCTTCCGCATATTTCTTTGTTTTTCTTGTTTTTCTTTACAAATTTTTGAATCCCCTATCGTGTTGTTATCACAAATCCTATTTAGACGTGAATGAAAATAAACCAAATTCTAAATAACTAAGGTTCCTACTACAACTTTGAACTAGTTTTCCAACATTCTTCCGTAATTCAAAGTTGTATACGTCTGACTTGTCCGTTTTGCAGTTATGTTGAAGCACTTCTCTCCAACTTTTACTTTTGATGAAGCACATGTCTCCATCCCTCAAATTTGAAACACCTCTCTCCAACTCATGTTGATGCACTTTGTCACCAACACTCAATTTTTGTTGAAGCACTTGTCTCCAACTCACGTTGATGCACTTTATCACCAACCGTTGATGCACTTTGTCACCAACACTCAAGTTTTGTTGAAGCACCTGGATCCAACTCATGTTGATGCACTTTGTCACCAACACTCAATTTTTGTTGAAGCACCTGTCTCCAACTCTCGTTGATGCACTTTGTCACCAACCCAATTTTGTTGAAGCACCTGTCTCCAACTCACGTTGATGCACTTTGTCACCAATACCCAATTTTGTTGAAACACCTGTCTTCAACACCCGTTGATGCACTTTGTCACCAATCGTTGATGCACTTTGTCATCAACAACCAATTTAGTTGAAACACATAATCAACTTCCAACTTTTTTTTAAATATCTCCAACTTTTAGAGAAGATTTTCTTCATCTTGTACCATATTTGTTTGCACCTCTTCAAACTTATTTTTTTCTTTCTTATATCTGTCTTGAAACTTTTCATCGAATAACCTAATTTTGTTGACAACTATCTATAGTTTTGCCAACATATTTTTTGGCTAGGCGGGTGGCACACATTGGTTAGCTCGCCCGCCGGCAACGGAAGCTACTTGATTCTCTCCCAAGATCGTAGAAGCTCTGATACCAATTTGAAGAAAAATATAATATTATTAGTCTCTGCAAGCTCTCTACAATTCTCACAAATCTTTACACATAAAATAAGTTATCAATACCCCTATTTATAATAGTATGAAACCTATTTCAACTAGAAACAGGAAAGTCTATTCCTATATTTATTCTAACAGCAAATCCTATTTAGACATGAATTAAATAAACCAAATTCTAAATGACTAAGGTTCCTACTACAATTTTGAATTAGTTTTTCAACAATTACTAATCATGGGACTAGTTAACTCAGGATTAAAAATAGTATCGGAATAACTTATATCTGCCAGATGGTGGAATAGTAATTGTGAGCACGTAATTTTTGCCCCCGTATATAAAATTACTCCTAAAAAATGTTCAAAATAGTTTTACTTATCTTTCGTATATTTTTAGGAATTCCGTTGGTTTAGTTGTTTACATTGTTGTTGCATTAGTAGATTATCTGCATCATTGCATTATTAGTAATGTTATAAATCATACGAAAAATCATTATAATATTTATCTCTCATGTAGTGCATTTTATATCTCAATGGCATTGTCAAAGGATTTAATTACATGCATAATAATTGAAAATCACAAAATTACATTAGTTTAGTTCTTTTTTGCATATGGGTAATTAATTAATTTAATTTTAATTAATCTAAAGTAATTTAATTTTTTTTAACTAGGTCATTTTTGCAAAATAGGTCCATTTAGTGTTTAATTAGATGGTATTTTGAAATTTAATAAAGAAGATGACATATGGTACAAGACTGCCTGCCCTTATTTGTTAATTGGGCCAACAATTTAATTGGCCCAACGCCTAACCAGTCTAAAATCCGCCCAAAGCCTAGTCTCCCTTAAAATTGGTCCAGCTCCAAACGACACCGTTTTGAGCACGATCAATCTTGGCCCTTCATCTCAGCTGACCGAACGGTCCGAACTAGCCCCTCATTCCCCTTAAAACTGTCCTTGAGAACGACCCTACCCCTAAAGACCTATCTTATAACTCACCCCTCCCTCTCTTTCACCCTTCACCGTCTGCCACCGCCGAAAATCACCTACGGTGGCAACCCGTCACCAAAC